CCCTTGGAAATTTTCCCTGCAGCCTACTTTCTCCTGCCTTTCCTGTAGGCATGGACACCTGGCACTGGTGTACCATCTGTATCGTAGCCAAGCATTTTCCTTAACTTTACAATCTCTTGTTTATACCTACAATGTAAAAAGTATGGAGGATTAAACGGTAACCTCAACTTCTGTAATACTAGTTGAAAAAACCCCAGATTTTTTCACTACGAAAATAAATAAGGCTTAAAAAAGAGGTGGTTTTTCATCTTCAGTTCTCATGCTTTTAAAAGAAGTTATTGTGGTCATCCAAAAATGTCTTAAGTTTTGCCAGATTTTAAAATAAAATCTGAATGTACACTATAGGAAAGAAAAAAAAAATCTTTCCTTCACAATGTTATCCCTCTTTACCCAAGTTTTGTATTCTACTTGCTCAAGTATATTACTATATGTTCACAATTAACTAAGGAGCAGCATGCATGAAAAATGCACATTAGACACTCAAACAGATGGACAATTGTTTAGTGTTGACAAGAAATCTTAGTAAGGGTTCAGGCATTCAGTTGCAATTTCATCCTATAGATGATACCCTTTCCTTATACATACATGACATTGTATGTTATGCACAATTACCTGACAAGATGGTGATCTATGTAGTCCTGACTTTCCTTAAGCTGTTCTTTCAGTACTATGTTTTCACTCATTAGCTTGGCCCTCTCTTCCTCCAGATCCTTTTGTGTATTTAGTGTGTACTCTCGTAACTGTTTGCGTAATGTAGCCCATGTCTCGGCAGGCTTTTCTCCGGGTCTGAATAAAATTTGTTCAGGTATATAATGATTTTATACAAAGAAAATACATATGTATGCAATGATTTTATAAAGGAGCAAGCTATTAGTTGAGGAAATCATTTTTCAAAGTCAGAGAAGACCTCTTAACGTTTTACCTCATAAATGAGTCCTCATCATCTGACACTCCATACTAAAATATGAAAAAGTAAAGCATGAAATATGATGAAATTTTAAAATCTTTTTGCAATTTCTCTCATGACAACACTGTGACAGTACTGTATAAAGCTGAAGCTTTTCAAGTTTCGAAATGAGAAAAGTTTCACTGCTTATAAAACAATACATGTAGTTACAACCTTTCTCCTTCAGAAATAGTCCTGCAAAAAACACATAATTACTGGTAGTAATTAACCTTGACCTTGTTTTTGTAGTTCTGTACGGTCTGTTTGAGTTTGTTGACCTCTCCTTTGAGGCGGGTGATTTCTCGGAGGTTGGAGGAGTTGATTTCTGAGTCTGACAGTTTCAGCTCTGTCTCATCAGGTCCCATGTCAATGTCGTCCAAACCTCTCTCTTCACACTGAAGTCGTAGGTTCCTATAATGTCAAGTTTTGTCCTTTAAAAGCTACTCAGGTATCTTGTAAAGAAGTGGGTTGTGAAACCTCATCTGTTATATAATATATATTCAATTTATAACATTTTAATAATGCACATCAATATTTGAATTTGTGGGATCATCCCCATTTTCAAAAGTGAGTTATCTCCCCTCAAAATCGGAACTCTTCTACACTAGCCTAACTTCCGCGGACTACGCAATACGATAATTCAACAAAATAGTGATCAACTTACACGCTGTATTTAAAAATTTTAAAAGAAGGAAATGGTTTGCATTTTTTTTAGATAATAAATTATTTTAAAAAGGGTCTGTTAGCCCCCCCCCCTTTCTAGAAAGCTATACGAATTAGCCAGGCATGTAGCATCGTCTTTAAAAGGGGGGGGGTAGCCAAAGAAATATTTTTTTTCTTACCTGGAAAAGTTGACAAGCGAAGAAAAACCTTGCCCAAAGTTGAAAAGCTACTTATTTCAGTACCAGTTCCTTGGCATACAATACTACATTTCCCTTATATAACTTTACCGTAGTATAAACTGTGTGTGTGGGGTGGGGGGGGGGGGTGGGAACCTGTCTATCAATGAAAATTTTCAATAGAAAAAGTAATATATTGGGAAAAAGTGGGGCTGGGGCTAAGCCCCTTGACCCCCCCCCCCCCCCCCCCCCCGTGCGTAAAGGTACAGAGGATTTGTGAATGGGTTGAACAGTTGAATATGAACCACAGTTGTGAAAATTAAAAATTAATAGAATTATTGATTTTGAATTCAATAAAATTACTGTACATATATTTTTTCACAGATGTACATGTATGTCAGTTACACGGGGTCTCTCTCTCTCTCTCTCTCTCTCTCTCTCTCTCTCTCTCTCTCTCTCTCTTTTACACACTTTAAAAAAATAAATAAAACAAGAGAAAAGAATGTTTTCCGTTAATTAACGAGAAATACGCTAGGAAATTATTGTATCAATTTCGTGTTTCTGCTCTCAATTCTCTGATCTAAAACAAAATGTGTATTTTACTCGGGAATATACATGTACAAGATACAAGATATGCTTAGATCCTACACTAAAACTTTGATTAAATGCAGCTTAGACTTTATACGACATATGTAACACGAATTCAGGTCGATGCTATTTTAATTAGTCTTTCTTCGTTACATGAGCACATGAGATTAAATTATTCATTTAGAATTCCATTCAAACTTTTAATACTATACAATGAATCAATTATTTTACATATAAAAAAATCTGGAAACACTGTTAATTCAAATGAAATAGGCCTTTAATTGTCACCAAATGTGTTCTTGTAAGTAAAAGTTCTATGTTATGACATAAAATCGAGCAAAAACGCAGTTTCTTGGTATCGGTCGCGGAAGACGAACTACTGCTGTATATGCAGCAATGTCAGAGATAAAACTGTAGATGGACACGTCATCAGTCTCCAAAAAATTCCTAGAGATACAAAGAAAATATGGCTGCAGCAGGCTAGATTAATTCTTGAAAACTTTATAACTAAAAATTTGTTCCGCACATTTTGTAAATAATGATGATCCGTCTGCAGAACATCCACTACCGAAAATTAGCTTTTGTTTTTTTTTAAATAGGCCTATTCGAATATGTATCAGCATTTTATCAGTAATTTGTTTCGATTTTTTTTTTTTTGTAAGGGGGGAGGGTCACACAGCACCTTATTATAGTACTATACAGATTAATACAAATCCAGAAAGAGACTATGAGTGGGCAATTAAAAAAAATACGAATCAGTTACGATTTCTTTTTATTCACAAACACAATAACATTTTTCCATATGACAGAGGCATTACACCATGAACATGTTTACATCAAGAACGTCCGCGGAAGTGACTTTATTTATAGCGCATGCGTATTAAACACAGTAAAAGAGTTCCCTTCAGGGGAAATAACTCACCTTTTGAAAATGGGGAATTAAGTATCAGGGGGTACATAAAAAATTTTCTTGTTTGTAGGGACGTCATTTCGTGGGTTAAGCCCATAAATTAGTTTCCATGAACTGGTGCTTTGATAAAAATATCATTTGTAGGTATGTAATCTCGTGGATAAAGGTGACCACAAACTCCCGAGCAGTGGTCCCTCATCAAAAATTCCACATTTTATCATTCATTTGTAAAGCATAGCTCCTGCTTGTTTATGATAAACTACAATTATGTGCTATGGAATCATTTTTATACGCCCGTCTTAAGACGGGACGTATTATGTTATAGGCTTCGTGTCCGTCCGTCCGTCTGTCCGTCTGTCCATTCCTGTCCGGCTCATAACTTGAATACTATTAGGCCTAGGATTATCAAACTTTGTCAACTTATACTTCTTGGGTAGACGGTGTATCGCGCACAAAAAGTAGGTCGCTCTGACCTTTAATAAAGATGCTATAGCCAAATATGGAAAAATCCTGTCCGGCTCATAACTAGAAAACTATTAGACCTAGAGCTTTCAAACTTGGCAAAAGTATACATCTAAAGTAGAAGGTGTGTCGCGGCCTATTTCAAGGTCACTGTGACCTTTAATTATAGTGAATTTTTAAAAAAAACTAAGTCTTTTAAATTCTAAATTTCATAATCCTAAAAATTGTAAAAATATAGTTATATGCTTATTAAAAACCATTAAATTAAGTAAAAACTTGTTTTTTCATTATATACTTTACAGCAATCTGTAACAAATGTTTATGCTTTGAGAGGAATTCAGTTTGTCCCATGGGCTTAATTATCAAGCACTGGTCAAGAAGAATTTTGAAAGCAGAAATTTGCATGTCAAATTAGAGAGAAATTAATGAGTTTATTGTCAGGAGCTAAGAGCATCTCTAGATCTGATGCAGATGCTATCTTAATTTATCTCTTGGGAGGTGGGCAAAAAGAAATGGCCTCATAGTTGCTTGTGCTAATTAAGAGTTCTTGATGGCTAGTCCAGATAAAGATCTTTCAATAGGTGTAATGAAATTAAAACAAATTGATGTTTTAGTGTATGATTAAAACTAAATTAGTATTGTATAATATGATTAAAACTAATTATATATGTGTTAATTTGAAAAAAAAAATGACATTTCAATTTTTATTTATTTGCAACAAAGATGCTATAGCAAAATATGGAAAAATCCTGTCCGGCTCATAACTAGAAAACTATTAGACCTAGAGCTTTCAAACTTGGCAAAAGTATACATCTAAAGTAGAAGGTGTGTCACGACCTATTTCAAGGTCACTGTGACCTATAATTAAAATGAATTTTTTAAAAAAAACTATGTCTATTAAATTCTAAATTTCATAATCCTAAAAAATGTAAAAATATAGTTGTATCCTAACTTTTTAAAAAACGTTAAATTAAGTAAAAACTTATTTTTTCATTATATACTTTACAGCAATCTGTAACAAATGTTTATGCTTTGAGAGGAATTCAGTTTGTCCCATGGGCTTAATTATCAAGCACTGGTCAAGAAGAATTTTGATAGCAGAAATTTGCATGTCAAATTAGAGAGAAATTAATGAGTTTATTGTCAGGAGCTAAGAGCATCTCTAGATCTGGTTATCTTAATCTAGTTATCTTAATTTATCTCTTGGGAGTTGGGTAAAAAGAAATGGCCTCATAGTTGTTGTGTTAATTAAGAGTTCTTGATAGCTAGTCCAGATAAAGATCTTTCAATTGGTGTAATTAATTAAAACAAATTGATGTTTTAGTGTATGCATGATTAAAACTAAATTAGTATTGTACAATATGATTAAAACTAATTATACATGTGTTAATTTAAAAAAAAAACATTATATTTCAAATTTTATATATTTGCGACAAATTGCAGTCATGTCTCACTAGTATTATTTGTTATAATCAATCCCTACACTGTAAGTCTCTTAGAGATGTATAATAAGAAATGGAAAATAGATAATTGAAATCTGTGTCAATCTGTTAATCAAGGCTACCTGATTTTCTTGCATCCTAACCAATTTATGATTATTGAACAATATTTGACGGGCGTATCATGCTGTGGCGGGGCACTTTATTATTCTGGCTTTCAATGTTCACTGCCAATCAAATTAACTGATTCTTGTGGGAATACTCTTATTTAGAGAAGATTTAATGTACCTGGTACCAACACATTGACAAAGTTTTTGTTCCTGGGAATGTACTGGGTAATGAGGTTGATCTACAAACCTTCCCCCCCCCCCCCCCCCCCCCCCCGCTAATGATGATTCTACAGTTTTATATATAACATACCTGTAATGTATGAGCAGCTCTTCGTATTTATGCAGCAGACTCCGCTTGCTCTCTCGATACTGCTGAGCGGCCAAACTGAGCTGTTCCTCACGCTCCTTGTGTGATCGAGAAATGTCCTTGTGCATGTTTTCTACATAGTCCCTCATTCTACCTGAACTGCGACCATCAGGTCCTGCATTGTTCTTATCCACAAATTCCTTCCAACAAAAGCAAATTATTTTGTCTTTAATACATAAAACACTGTTAAATCATAAGGTTCAAACAAATCTTGAGGAAAAGTTCTAAATATCTTGGCTGTTTTTTGTCGAATTATGTTAAATATTATAGTCTTACGGCAATATCCTCCACGTATTTGATGAGGCGCCCTCTATAGTCCTCACCGAGGTCCTTGACCTTGTGCTGCAGTCTGTTGAGCTGCAGTTCTAACTGTTCCTTCTCCCCACGAGCCACAATTAAAGCCTGATAGAAAATTATCACAAATATTATAACTGCTTTTATTTTGGAGGAATGTAAAGGTGAACATTAACTCGTGAATGTTTGGTAGTATCTGGTGAGGCTTGCATAGTCTTGATCCTTAAGAAGAAAACTTTAATCAAAAAATTCTTTTTTACTAACATTTCTTCTGCATAGTATTACTGTATTATCCATAACATGTACTTTGGAGAAGCTATTATAAGCATACTATTTGGTAACTGAATAGATCATAAATATGCTTCATGCACATATGGCAATGCC